ACTTCGCAGCCGTCCAAATCGTAGCTAGACTCCGAATTGTAATGCTAGATGATACAGTTCTTTCACTTAATGTTCTTGTCCAGTTTTGATAAAATATGAATCACAAAAACCCTGAAAGTGTTCTGACTGCCCTCGAAGCTCAGTCAAAAGCCTCTTGAGTGTTTTAGCCCGGTTCCAGAAGTGACGTCACTAGTAGCCCGACCCAGATCCCACTTTGCGCGGTCGTGAACATAGAAATTACATGTTTAAACGCTTGCAGAAACGCAGGGATTTTATCAATCGAGATAATTTTTTCGCTGAAGTAATCAGGGAAACTAGTAGATTTTATTAAAGGAAAAAAATTTTTTGGGGTTAGTGGCACTTTAAAGTTAATTCGATACAAACTGACGTCGTTTCGTAGCAAAAGTAAACAAGAAGTAATATCCCAATGGAAGTCTTTTCATCTTCGCATCGCATACAACAGCGATCAAACGAAAGAATGTCATCCCAGAAGGAGAAAAATCTTGTCTGTTTGGAGATCTCAGAACTTTTTTCGCTAACTGAATACGCTGAACTTCTCTGAAACAAGCCCGATTTCAGACTGCCGGGTTTCTTAAAGTTTTGTGTCGTATTCACCTCAGTTTGTATCAAAACGACTTGTATTGAAAGGAGTTTGTATCGAAACGACGGGACACCAAGAGCTGTGGCGGCTCATGCTTAAAGTTAAGCGTACAATGGCACTGCCACTGCCAATTCCTATTAATAGCTTATCATGTTTTGTTTACTCTACGCTACATGTATACAGCAAACAAACCTCAGAAAGCCTTATACGCTTCCCTAACAGCTCAGTGCCATCGAGACGTTTAATTGCTCTTTGCATGTCATTAAGGGAGGCGAATTCGACAACCCTGAAATGTTATAACAGATAGATATAAAACTAAATAAACAGTATTTCATTTCAACCATAAAAAAGGCGCCTGTGTTTCATGTACATGACAACATTATGTAAAATGTTTCCAAATAATTTTTATTATTAAATTCAAGAAGCAAATCAAGCGTGTATTTGAGAATTTGGATTCTCGCATGTAAAACAGTATATTGATAGTCTTTAACTAATATAAACAGTGTAAAATTACAATTGTAAATGGATTAGTATTCTACTGTAACTACTCAAGATTTTGACAGAATTTTTTATTAGTAAATAAGTAAAATAAAATAAAATATAATAAAATAAAAATAAATTGGACATATCTCCTATTAATAAATGTGTGGTGGAAAGTGTTCTTGTTTGAGAGGAGGTTGTCAAAAAACATGAATGACACCCACCCTTCTCCTATTCTATCTCTGTGGCATTGGGTAAAAGTCACCTCCCCTGCCTGGCGCATGTAATCTTTCAGATCCTGCAAAGCAATATTCTTGGGGGTCAAAAAGTACAATTATTAACACTCAAAATAATCAGCTTAGCTTTTTAAAGATGAAATGCAGTTTGTCTCAATTACACACGAAAATTATGTAATTATCCTCGATGTAAAAATAGCTGTGAAAAACTATTAAGCGTACTTTACAACTGCTGGCTGGAATCTAGCTATAGAAGCTGTTTTTTCTATTTGTAACTGATATGTTGCTAAATAATATGACAGCAATCTTGGCAACCAGGTAAAACAAAAAAAGTATGTGCAAGTGTGAAAAAGTTAAAAAATAGAGCCAATCATTTTGGGTCTAGTGTTTTTTCAAAGGTACACTGTACAACATGTCAGAAGTGACGTTCAAAACCTCAACCCTCAAAGAGAAGAACACAGAATTAAGCCACACTTGTAGTCCACATGAACCTAAAGTAACATCCACTGGAGGTGACAAGAAATGTGGCAGAGTTTAAAACTGGGGTCTGTTCAAAAAACATTTACATTCTTGTCCATGAAGAATGTAGATTTCTTCCACACTTCTCATTGAAATTGCTTGTTTTTGAAAGATCGAGTTTTGAAGACCTGTTGAACATGCTTACTGAAATGTAAAACTTTGACATTTTTAGTACATAATAATAATAATGAAAATGAGAATGATACTGATAAACAATATAATAATAATAATAACAACAACAACAACAACAACAACGTTATTTAAGTGTCAAATGTATTTAGCACTCTTGTGCTAATTGGGTGACACTGTTAATAAATAAACAAAACAAACAAAGCATAAACTATTAAGAATCCCAATTGGTGGGAGGCTGACCAGTTGGCTATTTACTCAACGCGGTCGAGGAGTTGAACTCGGGACTACCAAGAACAAATCCACATAGCGGTAGGGAGGATTTGAACCAGGGACCTCCAGATTTCAAATCCAGCACCCTTAACCACTCGGCCACACCACCTCCACAGGTATAAACTCAGGGCTCGACACTACTGGTAGCCAACTAGCCACACACTAGTAGAATTTTAGTTTTAGCTAATAGGTTTTCGATTTCTAATATCCTTTTTGGCTAGTAGACAAAATAAAATTGCCCAAACTAGTTTCTGTCTTCCTTGAGGAAGACAAACATAAACACTTTCCTCGAAAACAAGGCCAGAATTTTATTGTGGACGTATCATGTTACTGGGCACGTGCTGTTCAGCACATATGAAAATTTACGTGTTTACTTTTCGCTGTGTGTGTGGTACGTAAACGGGTAACTGAACATGTTATTATGTTGAAAGAAATATTTGACAACCAAGACAGCATTTTCTGAAAGCACACATCAATGTTCTTTTTTGTTACAAAATTAGATCAAAAACATGAGCTTCCTGATAAAATCATGCGCAAACTTGTGCGGAACTGTTAAGGGATAACATTTCATTTAGCATAACATACCATGGATGATTTGTCACTGTATACACACTGACAAAACGTACCACTACAGAAATAATTACACGAGAAAGATTATTTCCTTCAACATTTAAATCAGCCACTTCTTGCAATTGAATTTCGCCAACGACAGTTTGCAGTGTTGTTCAGATAGTTGTCTTGCTTTTGAAACATTTCTACGGCACCTGTCTGTGAAGAAGCCTCGAGAGTTTTTACAATGATATTTTCCCAAGAAGTCTCAAAGAAAAACAGAGTCCTGAAAGTCTTTTCGGGAAAATCACTAGATTTTTCTTCATGATCTGTCGGCGAGAGATTTGATGGAAAACACCAGGCCATTGAACAAAAGTAAAATTGGCACAATTCATTGAGATGATAAATTGGTCCGCTGTTTTTAATGTTACCAGTCAAGCGTGACACAAGGGGTGCTGACTACTTGTCAGACGGTTTCAGATGCAAAATCTCATTGTTTTGTTTTTCTCAAAATTCCGTAATGGATATAGGAGGGTTTCTTAACGGCGGTAAAAACGAAAAAGGCAAAGACCAGAGTTCTGAAAATTACGACCCACTGAAGAAGCTGTAAGTTTAAAACTTCTAGCGGCAAAGCGGAAAAATTCGGCAATCGTACTTTCTCCTGTTATTGGAACTAGCCAACGTCATCTAAGTTGTCACTAGCCACTAGGCTAGTAAGTTGAAAACTTAGTGTCGAGCCCTGTTACCATCTTATACTACGTTACTGATTCTAGTTATTTGCGTACGTGCAATCTTCATTCACTTCATATGTTTATCAAATGCATACTAATGAATATAAAATGGTAAATGATATGTACTGTAAACATTACACATCCCCAAAGCCAAACAAAGAGGACGTAAATCTATCCTTAGAGCACATAGACATATACCTTACCTTCGCAAAACTACCTATTTAGACCAAGAACTTCAAACTTAACCCAGTTGATAACCAAGGCCTTCATGCCATACAGAATCTCATCTCAGCTTGTAAAACAGATATCGATGAATGGGCCAAAAGTGCAGCCAAGAGTATACAGGGCCACTGACCAAGTAACCATACCAGGAATCGAATGATCTACACAATCTTAAGGTGGCAAGCCAAGTGTCATATTTTATGCCAAGGCCATTAATTTTTCCCCTTTTTACGCACAGACCAGGTTAGAGATCAGGAATTGATTTCTGCCTAAACCAAGCTCCCATAAAGTACCTTACCACTACTGTAGCTAAAGATAAAAGAAATGGAAGGAAGGAGGTTACTTAATAGAGCCAAAGTTCCTGTAATCATTTCAAACAACGGAGTTTGTTCAGTCAAATTTGCATGCACAAAGTTGTGTTCATATAAAGTTGTAATCAAAAGGTTGTTGAGACTTTTTTCATGCAAATGATTGTAGATGATAAAACACATGTATGCAGGACTGCATGAAGGAAAAATATCAGTCACAACTCAAACATTAAGTAATATTTATCTGACCATTTACAGGGTAATCATTGATTTGTTGCCTAATACTAACTTTTTTACTTTAATGACATTCTCAGTTGAAGGGTTCCGTGCAAAAAAGGGTGTATATCACCTAAAGAGGGATATACATGTACGCCCTTTTTGCATGAAATCCTTCAATTCTCTATTTAAAATGCCACATAATTAATAAACAGCTGTTCAGGGCTTGATAAAGAAAAAAGCAACCAGTCAACCGGCACAAGTAGATTTTCCAGTCCAGCAAGTAACTTTCTCTGCTTGCTTACCTGACAGGCAAGAGCCCAAGCCATCTGCCAATTACATTTATCAATTATTAATGAAACAAAAGACTAAATTTTAGGCACATGGGTAATCAAGGGTTTGGATGTAGCTTGACAAAAATTACAAGTTATAGCAAAAGACTGACTGATTGTGTGACTTGCATTCACATCAAAATGGCTTTTTTTGGATTTCTATGAGTGCTGAAAATTGACAGCTTTAAATACATCAGTGCCACTGAAACATGCACCCTTTTAAATTTCACAACTTTAGAAACTAAAATGGCAGTGATTTGTCAGTATAAAACACTACAAAGCGAACAAACTTAAAAATAATGCAAAAATCGATGAATGGCTTCCCAACAACCTATATATGGGACCAAAGATTACAAATAATTCAAATACAACTTATAATGGATGAAAAAATATTCCATCGAGTTGAATGGAAATGAATCGCAGTTAAATTGGATTTTGAGACAGACACTAACTCACTAGTGCTGTTTATAGATTCTATGCTACACTGTTTGAATTATTTCTACTGAATTTAGTGGCACTTTATTTTTTCTTGCGACAGTGTGGGATGAATCAAACATATGTAAACAGTGAACTTTAATAGTGTCAAGCAAAAAAAATTTTGGAAAGAAAGCTCAGACTCTATCCAGAAAAAACCTTCCCCGTAGACTAAAGCACTACGTACAATGTTTTTACACCTATAACACATTCATAAATATTTCACTGCATTTTTAACTCTTGGGCTATTATTTTCTAAGTACTTCATTGCACTGAATAATGTCATTTGAACTTGACAATTTTGCTGTCACAAGGATGATGAAACGTTGTTAGTTTCTGGTTTTGCTAGTTTTTGTATTAAAATAGTCTGATTCCATTGACAAGTTAGTATATTTAACAAAGAAAATCCAAGTTTTGACTAATGTATTTGAAGAGCAGAACATTTTACTTAGCATGGAGAAAAATCTGCCCGGGTGACCAAATTTCTTTCCACAACATTTTCCTCAATTTGTTAGATTTCAACCACTTTTGTCCTAACATTTCAGCAATTTTCTGCAAACATTTGTCAGTTTCACTTTATAAAACCAAACTCAATTTCAATGCATCAAAACTGTGGAAATTTTACATGAAAAGAAGACAGGTTTATTATATTAAGGACCTGCTAAGAACTAGGCAGACTAACTGCAAATCAATTAACAGGTGTGAACTATTAATTTTTAATTAATCAATTCATTCATAACATTCAAAAGGTGATTTAACAGCACTCCAAGCTCAAGGTTTTCAGAAATTGCCTTTTGGTGACCTTCTTCTGTAAAATGGTCACCACCACGTAAAATTTGGTCACCAAAATCTACGCATTATCAAAGAAGGACACTTCCTGTCATTTAACAAGAAGTTAATACTGCTGATCATGACAAACCCGCATTGAAATCGTTTGAAGAACATCCAGAGGCTATTGGTTTTCGTTTGCAACTGTTTTTTATTGGCTGAACAGTCTTAACTACTGTTCAGGAAAGTAAATAAAAGAAAAACAAAACGGGTAAGGAAGACAAACATGCAACAGTTGTGGTTGAATTTGTTTGGCTCAGTGATTTTACCCCCCCAAAAAAACTTGTTGAGTGGTCAGGCCTTTGTACCGCACTAGTCACCAAATTGGTGACCTGTTCGTAACATTTAAAAACCGACCAAAATGGTCCCAGCCTGGAGCCCTGGATTAGGATGCTCACATTTAGAGGACCTAAAGACCTATTTCACAATTCTTGGTATAGTTTGATAGCCAGCTCTATAAGCTTTAATTTGATATAAGGCTTTAATTTGATATAAGGCTGGGGTATCTTCAGTTTACACCAAACGTGCTACATCATTTGAACACAAGGGATATCAAAAGGTATACAGTAACCTTAATCATAGCATAGCGCAGGCGCTAGTCCTATCTAATTCCTATTGAGCTGTCATGAACGAAATCTCTATGTACACAAAGCCGTACTTATATAAGATGACATGTGCGGTTTCAATTTAGCTGCAAAATTTCCCAAGTTTAGTGTAAGTTCCTTTTGTTTAAGTTTCAACATTGTGAAGATTATTCTGAACAATCCAAACTCTACTTTGAGCCTCTGACTTTTGCCAAGTTAAGATGTTTACTTAAGCATTAGTATTTTGACTTTGTTTGTCTACATTTTCATTGAGTATTTTTGACTTTGTCTGCCTACATTTTTGTTGCGGAGTGTAGCGAGCGAGCAACATAATCAGGATTTCAGAAGAACATGTAGAAGGGGGTACGAATTCTTGAATTCATCACTTTTTACCAGAATGCATTGCATTTAACCAGAGTGCACTGTGCCACTTTTTACCAGAGTGCGTTGCACCATGAACAACACAAGGACATTGAGGCGTCATCCTCTTTGCGCAGATTCTTCGCATGAGAAAGATTAGTGGTTGTGTTTTGCTCTGATTTCCTGTAAAACGATGCAAGGAGGTTGTACCTGACTTTCACAACTCTTGCTTTTGTTCTTAATGCAGCATATGAAAGTTTGTTAATCTGGATGATTAATTTTTAAACTTAGTATGTCATTTCTTAGCTGTCCAGTTGCCTCCATGGCCGAATTCTTAAATGATGAGAAATCATCGCTACTAAAGCTTGTAGAATAATTAAAACAAACGAAAACCGTAGAACACGCTAATTTTGTACGGTGCAATCTATCCCTTTTCATCCAAACATGAATTTAAGCTAAAGCTTTAGGATTTTCACACATCGCGATGGATGCATCATTGTTTTAAGGGGGTGGGGAGGGGGGGAGGGGGATGTTTCCAAGACACTCAAAAATCAAATTTTACTGTTAAGTGTCCCAACTCTTTTGTCACCCATTGTAGTTCCAGTCAAATACCACAAATACGAATATGGCCACAGGAACAATTTAGCTTTGAAACTGACCATGGATATGTATGAAAAAAAGAAAAAGTAAAACTTGTTTAAGTGAATTGCAAATTAGGTACCTAAACTGCATTTAAATCCATGCTTAAGGTAGCGCGCGGGGAGTAGATTGCGTGCGGGGAGATCACCATCGTGCGTCACGTGTGAGTAACACGCATGATAGAGGCGCGAGATTTAAAACCCGAAAGACGTAAACAAATATGGCGGCGCACAGCTTTTTTCATGCAAGGTCACTTTTGTACTGTTGGAGACGAAATTCGCATATAAAGGAGGCTTTACTGCCTAGAACAACTTAAGTCAATTCTGTGTATTTAAGAAAAATTGTTTCAGGAATTCAATGTTTCCTGAATTTCAAAGGCAACTTGATCGATTGTGACAGCCACTGGGAGCGTAGAAAGGACTTGCAAAAAATAGTAAATCTACCCAAAATTTGTGCAAAAATCCTACAGAGCAAGCCCAGGAGGTTGTCTTTAACAACAACTACAACTGTAAATGACATTTTAGCAGCAAACAAAACAAAACTCCTATTCGGAGCCCACTCACCCGTGCGGGCAGACGAAGCAGTCAGCTGTAGCCAAAACAGCTCATGCGCAACTGCTGATCTTATAAAGTCTGGATTTTTGAATGCGTGTCTATGTGCGTGGGAATAACGGAACTCGTGAAAGCTTTTATGTGAAAACAAGCCCGGTGACCTCTTCTTTTTATTGTTTTAATATCATATTATCATTGAGAGAAAACATCAGAAAAAAATAAAAAATTATACGGAAGGAAATTTGCACTTTGTGCAAATTGTCATTTTTCCACATTTACAAGAAATCAGCTCCGTAAAATTATTTTAAAATTGCTGTGCATTTTCATTTTCAGATGCCAAAAGCTATTGATTAAAAGAAACTCAGGGTCACCGGATTAATTTTTTAGTTATGAGTGACATAAGCGAAAAATCAGGTCTGGAAAATCCTTTTGGAATGTTGCCATGGTAACTGTTGACGACAAAATAACAGCTGGTTTAGGTCAAGTATAAATTATAATCCAAACCTACAAAAATATTACAGTGGCCCTGGCCTGCCTTTTTGTTCTATTCTTGCAAAGTTACGAGCTGTCAAAAACCTGAAATCTGGTACGAGCCACCTTAAATACTCATCAGCCCTTGAGGACTACTGGAATTAATTTGACTAAGGTAAAAAGCACCAAAAAAATAAGTGCCTCTATTTCCGCAGTCTATCATTCTTTTGCCTAGTTCTTAGCTGGACCGTTACTTGAAACATGTCAGTGTATCACTTCCTTTTTGAAATGATTAATGAATTTGAAAACTTGGGAAAGGGGGGAAGTACTCTGGGCAGGCAAAATTTGAAAGTTGGTTGCCAAAGGGCAAACTGGAATTTGAATATTCTCCAAGCACTGCTATTGCTTATCACGGTTGATGAACAAGCATTTCGTACCACAGTAAAGATGTGGTGTTAATATCTTTACTACATGTACAACCAACAGAAAATATTATTTAGTGCAATCATGTACTTACCCAAAAACACTTGACGTGCAAAACACTAACTCTGCATGTACATGTACTGTATTTTCAAGCCTATCACTAACATTTTTGATAGATTTCATAAAATATCTAAGATTGCTTCATGCTTCATGTTTGTATGACAAACATGGTTGAGAGAAAAACAACACTGAACACTACATTTATGTCATTATGATGACGATCTGTATTGAAAATCCTTGTTATTCTAACTATGTTTAATATCTAGGAATTCTTACCTGCCAGCTTGCACGAGATGACAAATTCTCTACAGTCAACTTGTACTCAGTGTTATATGGTGCACCATATCTAAACAAAATACAGACACTTTGAAGAACAAACAAACACATGCTTCACATACTTAGCAATGCAATACGGGTGGATTTTGCAGCAATGTTTGTTTCATGTTTTATCCAAGTCTGGAGAGGCTACTAAACAAAACAAACCAAAGTTCCATCTGATCTGTGATTCTTAACTTGTTTGAAAGCAAACATGGTCTGCAAACAAGGTCTTCACAATAATTATGCTCCCTCATCATAGGCCTGCAATGTGTGCAGAGAGCCTTATGGTCCCTCATCATAGGCCTGCAATGCGTGCAGAGAGCTTTATTGAAGGGGTGAGTGCAAAACCATGCTAAGTGACGATTTGGG